ATTAAGAATTCCTCATATCAATCAGTGAGACAGGAAGATGTTTTTAAGTGTATTTTATATTTGGGGTCCCTGCTACCCCCATTTGGTCCAAGACCTCTGGAACCCTGTGCTGTGAGTTTTTGTGTTGGTCCAGTGAAGTTTCCTACAGAACCTGGGAGTTGTTAGCAGCCCCTCGCTGCAGAGGTCAAAGGAGCTGCAGCAGAGAGGTTGTCAGGGTTCGAGCACTTTCCCACGTCTGGCCTGGCCCTGTGGGGCTGCCTGGGTCGGATTTGGCATCTGGGCACTGAGTCCCCCGTGTCTCAGCTGCCCTCCAGCTTCAGCGGGCCCAGTGATGGAGACACAGGGGAGCCCCGCCCTCTGACACCCTCTCCCTGCCACGCAGCCGCTGCAGCTCCTGGGCCAGCTGTGCCAGGCGCAGGGCATCCCTTTCCCGCCCATCTCCCCCAGCCCTGAGGAGCAGCGCCAGCCTCACGAGTGCCACTTGTTTCTGGACCCAGCCTGCCCCGACGCCCCGGCTGTGCTGCACTTCCCTCTGGTGGATGGCTCCTTCCGCGAGTACCGGGCCCCTGGTGAGCGCCCTTGTCCTCCCCCCTCCAGCCTTCATGCCTCTCCACGGGGGACCCCCCCCCCCCCGCCTCAGCTCCACGCTCTCCCCCAGGCATCCCGCGCCCCCCTGAGGAGAAGGCGGCCGGGGAGGTGAACCTGTCTTCCTCCGACTCCCCCTACCACTACTCGAAGCTGACCTACAGCCCGGAGGACACGGACAAGCTGCTCCGCCTGACCCATTACAACATCTGCAACAACCGGGAGCGGCTGCTGGAGGCGCTGCGGGGCGCCGTGCAGCGGAGGCGCAGGCGGCACCAGCCCCAGTGAGGGCGTGGGGCTCCCCTGCCGCCCGCCACACTCACCCCCAGAAGCTCCAGGCGAACAGGGCGAGTTTCCTCCCCCCGCGTTCCGGAGCCCCCAGCAATCTCGCCACATCCACATGCGGGGACCTTGAGCATCTTAAAAGCAAGGAGAACATTCAGGGGGCTCTGGGGTCGCTGAGGTAGGCCCGGGGGACGAGGGCTTGAGCCCAAAGCAGTCTTGACCCTATTTGCAGAAGCGCTCAAAGCCACGTGCCCTTCCCCGTTGCTACCTTGAGTAACTGTACCGAGTGAAATAGAGCGGTTTATGTATCACAGAGGCTCATATAAATGTGAGGTGGGACCAGATGATCTGTCCTTGCTGCCAAGAAAGGACAGGTCGTGCTGGGCTCCTGGTTACACAGAACAAGGACTGGCCCCCTACAGAGCTAGCGAGCAGGTCCCGTCTACCCCGCTGGAGCCCTCGCCCTGTGCAGGGGACAGACTCACAGGCAGTGGCAGCCAGCACCCCTGTCCCCACCCCCCCCCCCCCGGCTGCTTCCTATCCCACAGTAGGGGTGGCCACACCTGCGATCAGAGGAGCCATGGGGACAAGCGCGCATGGCCTACGACAGCAAGCTGTGATCTTGGCGAGGGCTGCCTCTTAACAAGGAACCGTCCATTCCAGACTTTGGTCCTGGTAGCAGAGTCCCATGCTGGTCCTCTAGAGGTTGTCCTTGTTTGTAGCCCTGAGGTTTGCTGCCACCTCAGGGTTTGCTTCAGGGCCCAGACCTGTTGGGGTAACAGGGAGGCAGAGTGAACTTAGGGCCTGGCCTCCCTTAAAACATCCCACCTCCTAACTTGCTGGGGGATGTAGATACCGAGAGCTGACAGGCAGCTGCAGGACGGACCGTAGTGTGTGGAGGGTGGATGGGAGAGAATGGGTTCTCTGTCGCTCAGAACTCCCCCTCTGCTCTGGCCCCCTGATGCTTGGGCCCTGCCCTGAGCATGGGCCAGGGTCACAGCGGAAACCAGGGAGGCCCTGGGAGCCGTAGAAGCCACCATCCAGGACAAGGCCTATTCATTCAGCACCATGTTATCTGAATTCTCAAATGGAGCCCATGGGCCCTGCGGGAGCGGGCTTGCGTAGCTGCCAGAGACCACAGCCATGGCCGCCCTCCCGGGTGCTCCTTGGGCCTGACCCGGGGGGTCTGTCTCTGCGAGAGTCGGTGTGGGCGGGTGACAGCCTGACTGCTGGCCTGCTCTAGGCCAGTAAGGCTCCCCTTTCCCGTCGGAGCAGGGGAGAGCAGGAGAGGCGGCCGAGGGCAGGCCGGCCCCGTCTTCTGTCGGACTGGAAGAGGAGGCCGAGGAGTGAGCGCTGTGTGGGCGCCTGGGCCGTCCTTACCTTGGGCCTGGCTGGGGCAGGAAAGGCAGTGGGAGCCGTGGGCAGGTGCTGGGGCAGGGCCCGCAGCCTGTAGGAACCCCAAGGGTTGTGGCTGGCCGTCGGCACTCACGGGCGTCTCCCTCAGTGAGGAAGTCGGGGGACAGCCATGGACTCTGTGGGGAGAGGGAACCTCAGGGCCTGGACTCTGAGCAGAGCTTTGTACCCGACGGGGTGGGTGCTAGGATTTTCTATTGCTGAGGGTCTCACATACGGGGGTTAGTGCATACCCTAGCAGCTTAGGGCTGAGTCTCCAGATCTCAGGCTTGAGAGGGCAGCAGCTGTGCCAGTTACGGGGCTCAGGACTCCCACCTGCCCACATAGCCACGGGCCCTACCTGAGCGGGCCGGCGGTGCTGGGCACTCTCTCAGCAGCGTGTGCAGCTGGGAAGCCCACGGGTCTGGCCGGGAGCTCCAGGCTCAGACTGTGGGCTGCAGAGCAAAAGAACAGTCGTCAGCGCTGGCCCCGGTGGTAGGCCCTCTGCAGCCGGCAGCCTCCCTGCATGTTCATGTTCATGTCTATCCCCAAATCCCTCTGTGGAAATCCTAATACCAAGGGGACGGCACTGGGAGGTGATTAGGTGATGAGGGTGGAGCCCTTACAAAAACCCCAGAGAACAACCTGGCCCCTTCCACCAAGTGAGGACACAGTGAGAGGGCACCACTCACGACCCAGAAGAAGACTCTTACCAGGCCCCCAATCTGGTGGCGCCTTGATGGACTTCCCAGTCTCTAGAACTGTAAGAAATAAATGTTACCCACCCAGTCTGTGATAGTTTTGTTAAAAGCAGCCCAAACAGACTGATGTGCCTGCTCCAGGAGGCTGTGGCACGCACCAAGCCTTGCCCACGTGGTGCGCAGTGCGGGCCCAGCACTCGGGCAGGTCCCCCAGCGCACCCCTGCCTCCTAGAAGGCTGAATGCAGATGGGCTAAGAGAGGCTTAGTCTGGAGAAGATCCTGAAGACACTCAAGATCCCCTTGGGATTCTGGAAGGACAGACTCAGCTCCCAGGGGACCAGAGACAATGTGAGGAAAGAAGCCAGGAACCCCGAGAGACTGGGAGGAACAAGAAGGGACTCCCACCTGGGGCTCGCAGCAGTCTGAGGACATGACCTGAATATCACTGTCTCTGGGTGGAGCCTATCTGACCATACTGACGACAGACTTCTGGGGCAGGGGTGCTCTCCAGGCATCCTTCCTGATATAACTGGGTTTGGCCACTGTCCACAAGATACCCCAAGGGCAGTGCATTCAGAGCTTTTTGAGGAGTGGAAGGTTAGAGAAGGTCCCAGGGCCACAGAACAAAGCCTAGGAGCATGCAGGGAAGTCAGAGAGGCAGATTCCAAAGGGGGCAGAACAGGGCCAGGGGGCAGCCAGGGGGGCAAGCCCGGCCCTCCCTCTGGTACTAATTAGCGCTGTGATCTTTGGCACGTGGGTTACCCTTCCTGGGCCTTAAACTGAGAAGACACTAAGTCCCACTTACCTCTCAGGCTAGAGAGGTACTAGATGTGGCACTTCTGAGGATGCGTGAAACAGCAGTTGGGGGCCGGGTGCTCAGTACCCCAAGTCCCTCCCCAGGTGCCCCTGGTGCTTACCAGTCGCGCTGCTCAGGGCTCGATGCCAGCTCTCAGCCTGCCCTTCCGAAGGTGCCGCACGCAGGGTCTCCACCCCGCCGCTCAGCCTGCCACCCACAGAGCTGGTGGTCAAAACTCTTGGCTTCCCACACCCGTGGGCCCCTGTGCCTCCAGCCCCCTGCTGCTCTTGGGAGGCCATGCCGGCTGGGTCAGGTCATGTTCTGGGGCCATTGTCTCCCTCCCCACCTGGCCCTCACCTTAAGGAGAAAGCATGTTTCCTGCCATGCTGGTTCCCCGGCCTCTCACACTGGGCTCCTCCGAGGTCAAGGGTGGCCACTGGGGCCATATCCTGAGAAGAGATGAGAGGGGTCACCAGTGCCATGTCCGCTCTTCCCCGTGGGCCTGTCCTCTGCCTCCCCCACATTCCACTGCCCAGTACCTCTGCTGCCCTCCTCTTGTCCCAGGAGAGGCTCAGGGAGCTGCTCCCCAGGGTCCCGTGGCAGCCATCCCAGGGGCTCGAGCAGGGCTGTGGAGAGAAGGCAGGGAGGCTGCACCAGCTGGGCGTGGAGGGGAGGCTGCAGCCCATCCTCGCGATCGCCCGTGTGTCTCCAGAGGCTCCCAGGCCAAGTCCACGGGGAAGAGGGAGCCAGGGAAGGATGTGCCGGGAAACCAGCAAGAGGAGGAAGAGGGGGGATGGAGCCCAGCTTCCCAAGGCCTTGGAGCCCCTAGCAGAAAGCGAACCCCTCAGGAGAAGGCCCGCAAGGAGCAGAGAGAGAAGCAGAGAAGGGAGGGGGAGGGTCTGGGCCTTGCTGGGACCCCTCCGCTGGGCCCTCCAGCCCCATCCTGCCTCGGTGCTTCCGCTCGCTTCCGCTCAAGCGCGGGTGGGGGCAGCAGCTGTGAGGCAGCTTAAGAATGAAACTGTCCTGGGGCGCCGGGCTGGCTCAGTCGGTAGGGTGTGAGACACCCCCGACCTCGACCTCGGGGTTGAGTTTGAGCCCCACGCTGGGTGTAGAGATTACTTAAATAATAAAGAAAAAAGAATGAAATGGTCTTAAGAATGGGGGGGAGGGGGTTATCCACCATCACGTCAGGATGCCAGGCCCTGACGGCCCCTCTGAGCCCTCTGGTTCTGTGGGGGAGAGCAGCCTGGAGAAGGAGCCTCCTCATGCCTCCCTGCCTCCCTGCAGGCAGGAGCTGCGGCCAGAGCTCCAAAAACCCCTCCGCGGTGGGGGCACCCTTTGCATCCTGAAGGGGCAAGATGGGGCCCAGGAAACATCCAGCAACAGAGGACAGGCCCCCTCTGAAAGGTGGGCTAGGAATCCACCCCTCTCTGACCACTTCATTCCTGAGGACTCTCGGCTCTTCTGCCCAGTGCCCACCCCCCGGGGCTCACTGCTGGGTCCAGGATCTGGGCCTCACCCCCACGGCCCCGGCCCCACTGGGCTCCTGCTGCCGGGCTGCAGGCTCCAGAGAGACAATGGTGGCAGGGGGTATGTGCAGCCCGACGGGGACACCTGGCTGCGGGTCCCTTGTCTCAGCCAGCTGTACTCCGGGCCCCCAGCTTCCAAGGGGCCTCTGCTGGAGGGCGATGAGTACATGGCCAGCACTCCTGGGGTTCAGCCCTGGCCCCTGCTGTGGCAGCTTCTGTTCCACCTTGGAGAGGGGAGTAAGGTGAGCCAGGTCAGGGCTCCATGCCCCAGCCTCTCCTCCCCAAATGCCTTCCCCCTTGAGAGCATCCCTGTCTTCTCATGGGTCTTCATCTCTTTCCGCTTCAGCTTGCTTAAGAGACTTCCCCGTCATCCTAGTCCACAGTGGGGCTCCAGCCTACCTGGATGCGGGGGTGGGGTGATGGGGCCCTGCAGCTGCCCAGGCAAAGAACAGGGTTTTCCCGAGGGGTCGGATGTGGGCTCAGTGCCCTGGGGCGGCTCCATGCTCAGACTGCTCCCACCCCAGCCCTCAGGCCCCTTGCTGCTGGCATACCCTCGCCCAGCCTCCTCTCACCCCTGCCTTCCTCTGCAGTTGGGCAAACTTCTCTTCCTGGGCTGCCAGCAACTTCTCAAAGTCCTGGTGTCTGCAGAGCAGCAACTCCACATCGGACGCAGTGTGCTGGGGAAAAGCCAGGGGGGTGAGGCCCAGCTCCAAGGGGTGCCGAGAGCCGCACCCCCCCCCCGCCCCCGGTCCACAACCCGGTTTAGCGGGTCAGGGAGCCCAGGGACCGCAGGGCCCGCCCTTGGCTGCGGCTGCCAGTCGGTGCAGCTGGCTCGTGGCGGCGGGGGGCTGGGCTCACCCCACAGCTGGGGTCGAGCAGTAGAGCCTCCCGGGAGGCCAGCCAGGCCTCGGCCCGGTCCAGCTCCTGCTGCAGCTGCTGCAGGCCCCAGTTCTCCTTGCAGCGCTCCTGGCGTAGGGCGCAGGCCTCTGTGAGTGCCTGCAGCCGCCCTTCTAGCTCCTGCAGACACCCTGTCACCTGGTGGGAAGGGGTGCTATGTGTCAGACGCTCGAGCAGAAGCACCGAGGCAGGATGGGGCTGGAGGGCCCAGCGGAGGGGTCCCAGCAAGGCCCAGACCCTCCCCCTCCCTTCTCTGCTTCTCTCTCTGCTCCTTGCGGGCCTTCTCCTGAGGGGTTCGCTTTCTGCTAGGGGCCCCAAGGCCTGGGGAAGCTGGGCTCCACCCCCTTTGTGCTCGTACCTCCGGGGACATGAAGTGGCCGCTGTCTACCAACTGCTGCCCTTCCCGCCGTAAGTCCTGCGCTCGAAGGCAGTGCTCCCTGATTTCTTGCTCCAGCTCCGCGTGCTGCACCAGGAGTCGCTCGGCCCCCACCACGTCCCCGGCCAGCTCCCCGGAAGAAACCAGAGCTTGCTTCTCCTGAGCCCATGCTCTGGGGGTAGGGAGATGAAGCTGCCGTCAGGGCTGAGAGCGGCCTCGGGCGGCAGGGCATGAGGTGTGCCCGGGGAAGGGGAATCTGGCTCCCCGAAGAGCTGCGGTGACCCCCCACCCCGCGGGGGCAGAGCTGAGCCAATACCAGGGTGGGATGCCACCTACAGCAGTTCTTGACAGCGGCCGAGGAAGGCCTGGCCCCGGGCCACGTGCTCCAGCTGCCAGCCCCGCTCCCGGGCCTTCTCACTCAGGGTGGCCCAGGCCTCCTCCACCCTGGCCAGCTGCTGGCACAGGCCCTCCCGGGCCACGGGGTGTAGCCGGCCCAGTCGGCAGGCCTCCAGCCGCACCCGGGCCACCTCCTTCTCCACAGCTGCCAGGTCCCGCTGCCACCAGAATACCCGATCAGGCCTCACGCCCCGCAACCTGATGCACCCCCCTCACTCCGGGAGCACCCGGTCCTCTCTGGGGGCCTCCTGTTTCCCAGAACTTCCCCAGCCAACTCCACGCTGTTCCGCAACCTGGGCAAGCACTCCCAGGCTAGGAGGGCCTTCCCTTCTCCCCTCTGGGGGGCCCTACCCCCACCTGCAGGGAGACTGGGGGCACCCTCACCTCCAGGCACCTGTGCTGTCGCTGCAAGGTCTGCACTGAGGACGAGCTGTGGTCACAGATGTCTCTCACCATCGGGGTGGCCTTCTCCTGCATCCAGCCCTGGAGCTCGGTCACTGCCTGCTCAAAGCCACGGACCTCCCGGGCTGTGGCCAGGCTCTGGGAGAGGGGGGAGGCCTGCTCTGGGCTGAGCTCACTCTTAGGGTCCTTTCTCCCTGGAGACATGGCCTCGTGGACCACCTCCCTTTAAATAACGAAGACCACGGGGCTCAGTGACTCGTTCATGACCACCAGGTACGGAGAATGTCCTAGATGTGGCAGGTGCTCAATGAGTGTGTGATGTTACTGATGAGGGGTGAGGCCTCGGGGGGCCTTCTGTGACAAGAGGGCCTTTGGTGTACAAATCACGAGAAAGGCAGAAATGGAGGCTCTGAGGCAGTGGGGGATGGGTCCACGTGAGGGAGGAGTTTGGTTTCTGGGAGGACTGGCTAGGACGGGCGGGCCAGCTCAGGAGGCTGCCCAGGCTGTTGGGGGCTTGGGGGGCAGCCTGCTTTTATAGAAACCAGCAGCTACGGCTGAGAACACAGGTCGGGGAGCAACATGGAGCCCATCCACTCAGGGCATGGAGCTTCGAAGAGGGAGGGGGCGCAGCGAGGGAGCCAGTTAAGTATGCGTGGTTGAGGAGAGATCAACACGGTGTGTATCTTCAAACCTGAGGCCTGTATTTAGGGGAGGTTTCGAGGGGTTCGAAAGCTGGCCAGACCTGCCTTCTGTTTCTCCCAGGTGTGAACTGCCGGCAGGAAAGCAAACTGGTGGAGAGGGCTGGGGTGGGGTAGAGGTGCAAGATTTCGAGAGTCCCCATCTGCTTAGTCCTGGGAATCAGAGGCAGCCACCTCCGTCTGCACACGCATACCCACCCATGCTCATACTCACTCGCACGCTCACCCTGATGGGCCTGCTCGCCCCTGACCCAGGCAGAAGGCACGGGTGCTCCTGCCCCGTGGCTGCCCCTGGCCTGACCTGGCCTGGGCGCACTTACCTGGCTGCGGGCTTTTATTGCCCCGTCCAGCCTCTCCCAAGCGGCCTCGATGCGACTCCTCTGCGCCTGAATCCGGGGAGAGCACCTGGGGGCCGTCCGTTCCAGGGAGGCCGCCAGCTCCCTCAGGGCCTGCACCTTGGCCTGCCCCAGGCTCTGAACTTCCTTTCTGAAAGCATCAAACTTCTCTTCCAGCACCTGCGGGGATAGAGGGCCAGGGAGGGTCACTCCGGAGGTGGTGTCCAGCAGCTCTTGCAGCTCGCGAAGGGCCTGGCAGCATCTGACAGTCCCCTCATCCGTACTGGACGAGGCGGGAGCGGACGTTGCCCGGCTCTGGCTCTAGGACCATGGGGATCCGCCCAGAGCCCAGCTTCTTCCCTTCAGCTCACGCCCTCGCCTCCCTCTCGCCCAAAGGCACACACCTCCCTTGCCCTGGCTCAGCCTCCATCCACTCTGCCACGGGTTCGCTTGGGAGAGACTCACCTTGACGGCCTCCAGGTCCCGCCCGAGGTCCTGGGACTCAGCCGTGGCCACCCTGCTGGCCAGCCAGGTTTCGAGGAGCAGGGCCTCCCGTTCCAACTGGTGGCACTGCAGCTGTTCCCGCAGGCCTTGCCCCCTGCCTTCCGCCCTCTGCAGCAGCCCTGAATGGGCCTCCCTCAGCGCCCGCATCCGGCCCAGCGCCCTGGTGCCGTGGCAAGGAGGACAACCCCACTGAAGCCCTTCTTCTCTAGGCCGGAGCGGCCTCGCGTGCCTCGGAAGGGAGAGCCCTCCCTGCGCCTCCCTGCGCCTCCCTGCGCCTCCCTGCGTGCGCCTGGCTCCCACCCACCTTTCTGGGTTCTGCCTGCTCTCCAGGAGGGCCGCGGTCTGCTGCAGCCTCTCAATTCGCATGCTGAATGCCTCTAGGTCTCTCCTGGTGGCCTCCAGCCGCCGCAGAAAGGCGCGTGTGGCCTCGGCACTCTGGCCCACATCCTTGACGTCCAGGGCACAGCCCCGTTCTTCCAGCCAGGACTCTGCCTCCAGGAGCTGGGGTGGCAGAGAGGAGAGTCCTCCCTGGGTGATGGCCTCTAGGGCTCCCAGCCTGGAGTGCACAGCCTCGGGGTTTGGAGCCGCGGTTCGCACCCTGGCTGCACACTGGAAGCGCCGAGAGTTCTGACGCTCCCTGTGCCTGGCCCTCACCCCTAAAGATTCTGATCTGGTCTGGAATGGAATGGGAGTATCTGCATTTCTTAAAGGTTCCAGGTCATTCTGATGAAAAGCAATGACGGAGAACCACCGGTTTAGAAGAAACAACACAACAAAATAACACCGAACCCAGGGAGGGGCTGAGCTCTGGGTGCCATGCAGAAGGAAG